AACACTCCGGCTTTCCACGAAGGCGGACGGGGTTCGATCTCCGAAGTCGTCGTACGCATGGATATTCAGAGAGAGTGATTTTCTCCTGCCAACACAACTCTAACAACCCATGACGAGTATAAGTTGGTCTGGGGTGGATGTTGCGGTATCTGTGCTGTAGCATTCAAGTGAGGTGGCACTATAAATGATGCCGTTGGAAGCACGGTCCCACTACAAACAGAACACATTACATCTCGACCACACACGCAGGCATACACACAAAGGGAGATATTAGATAGGTGGCATAGGACTAGTAATTATGTAGTTAGCGCCTGATAAGGCAGCTCCTGCAAATTCCTCAAAAATTGTATTGATTTATGTATATGCTAATTGTATAAATTGTATAAATTGTATAACTTTGTTTTGTAAAGCGCTTTAGAGTGGCTTTTATTAGCTAGATAGGCCCTACATCAACTGCTGTATATTATTATTATTGTTATTGTATAATGGTCTGTTGTAGTCGTTTTGTCATACAATTTGAATTCGGTTTTTCTTGTTTTTTGACGATGTCGTGTCTTTTCAACCATTCAAACAAATATATTTGATAATCAGTGCTTTGTTAAAAAATTAAATAGCACAGAAAAACCAAAAGACTTCAAATGGTAAAGTGCTATGTTACAGATCTTTCAATTACTCCTGTGGTATTGTGAGGTATTTCACTGTACACGGCACCACCTTCCGTAGTCCGAGTATTGATCACTTGGTATAAAGATACCTATCTCTCCGTATTTACGGCTGTCGGGGCGAGGTAGTCGAACACATGATGTCAAAATTAATGACGTCAGGTAATGTTATCTATCCTCATTAGAATTTTCTTTGATCTCCGATTTGACAGATTTTTTTTCTGTTAGCAGAACAAGTTGTCTGGTACCCGACCGACCATTATCTGGTAGTAATAATAATAATGGTAATAAGCTTTTGATGAATGATAGAGGAATATTTGCTACACTGAAGTAATCTATCAACAAAGTTTCTGGATAAATAATATCTGTCAACCCTATTTTCAAAATATCATTCAGAAGAGTACTCATGTTTCCCTTAAACTAATAACTTTAATATCAGAAAATGAATGTTGAATTTTCGGAAAAGTGTGGAGATAAGGAATCTTAGAATTTTGTTGCAAATCAGTTATGACGTATTGTAGTATCGTACTGTAAGAAGCCTATTTCTAGAAAAAATAGTACAATAAATTCATATGTGTTTCTCCTAATGTCTGAAAATGTCTACACAGAGAGGCACGGTAGTCTAGTGGTAGGACGCCGGGCTCGTGATCGAAGGCTCAGTGTGTACCACCTTGTTGATGAGACGAGAAGACTATTTCTATCCTTTGATGTACACCAAAAGAATTTCGCGGTCGCATAACAGTGAACATTGACTGACTGACCGAAATGGCAGCACCGGCTATATGCTTACCAGGGAGTTGAGAAAGATATTGGCTGGATGCAAAGACCCTATATCCACGGTTACTAATTTGTGAACCGCTTTGAGACGACCTACGAACAAGGTTGTGATAAAGCGGTTATAAGAACCTCGAATTATTGTTATTATTTTCATCTCCATTTTTTTTTTACTCTTTTATATAATTGTTTTAAGTCATATTATTTACTTCCTAGATACAACGGTACCACGTTTTCTTAACTACGACACGTAAATCAAATTTGAAACTTGATTTTTTTCCCCCAATCAAATTGCAAGTATAACAGCTACTCTATCTCATACTTATTTGTATCTATTGCATAAAAGGTAAATATTTCTATGTGCCATATTTGTAAACACGTCGCTAACGTTATTATGACAAAAAGACCCTTTGGGCCTTTTTTCTTATTTTATTCTATATTTTATTGCAGTTACACAGCAAATTAGCAAATACATATTTTTCAAATGAAGAAAATGAGAAAAAAAACAGAAAAGTAAAAAATTACCGATTACATGTGTCAAGACGCCATGCTCGTACAGCTGGTTATAAGTCCCCTATAGGTATAACCGGAGAGGACTACAGGGCTAAACCGAGTCCATTAGTTCGGCCCAGTCACATTTCGTTTGGTTATATCACTTGTAATGTTATCCTCCGTATTACCAAATTTTGTATGGTATTGCATTAAATAATGGCAGAGTGTATCATACTACATGCAGATCGCAGTAGCCTAGATTTCTACTATTTAAATTGTATCATTGCAATATTTATTCAGAGCATTACTCCCAGATAGTAACGCCAAAGGTCAAGGGTCGACACACCTGATACAGGGACATGTGTTTGGACTGTTGCGCTCTAAAGAGCATTGCTAATGACATTTCATTTTGGACAAAACATCGGTTTTAGTCATTTCCTTTGCACCTACATCTGTCATATTAACTTAAATCAAATTTTAACATATCTGGTTTCCTGATCGGGAAAGAGTGAAACGAAAGAAGACCGGTTTTGAGCTCATCTCGGGAAACTCATGTAACTCATGAAACGCGAGTCAAAACCTAACTTCAAAACGTCTCCTTTTCCACGGGTTAATTCTATTGTAAAAACATCTTTCTAGGGTACACATTTTGGGAAAAAAACCCACCATGGCCCTAACTGACAGTTGTCGATGGGCCGCTAAGCACAAACAAACAAATACACATTTTCGCTTTTTTTGGCTAAGACTTATTGGTAACGAGGAAGTCTTCGCTATGTGACCTAAGTGCCGAGGCATCCATACGAACCTGCTCTTGTCAATGATGATTAACTATCGGTTTTCATGTCTACTTACACGTCAGCTCATTCGGAATCACCTCACCCGAGAACATTAGTTTCATGGACTATTATCATCAGTATTGAAACATCCTGTCAATAATGAATTCCAGTATTCGCAAGTATTGTTCGCGAAATAACGTACACACGAGAATAAGAGATGAATGATTGTAAAAGGCACTTGTGCATTCAAATTTTTACTAGTGGCAGATATTTTTCAAACGCTCAAATGTTTTATTTGTGCGTGTTTTCCCTTGATGGCTAAGGAAGCTTATAATGAGTAATCACCGATTGTGACATTTCCTGCATATCCTCAAAACGTGAAAACACCAAATCGGTAGAATAGACAAAAAAGTGACGTATGACCACAAGCTTATAAATATCAGTAATGCGACATATTCCTAATATCGTCATGATCCTTTAACATCTTCAAACGACTTTTTAGTGTCCAATGATACTCATAGTGACATATTTTGTATATTAATTATCGTTCCCTTGTCAGTCATATTATTAACATGCCCGAGATGTATAGCTATTCACCATCTTAACACCTCATTAAACTAAAATGTTGAATGAGAGTTATTTTTTTTAAAATCGAGAATTAATAATAAACTATACAGGTTCTGATTTTCAATATGATTCCCACTGAAAAAACGAAATCGGTAAAAACAGACTTATTTTTTTACCACATTCGTTAAAAACCGGTTTTTGAAAATTCGTTTGCTGTGTCATATTAAACTAACAATGCTTGTCACAACACGTGACATGATCTAGTTATAACAAGGTCCAGTCCATAATCCTAAAAACTAATCTATATTTTAATTTATCATTGATGTTTTCTTATGTTATTTGTTAAAAACTTCCACATGGGAGTTTTACATGGGATCCATCTTATCAATTACATTTTCCAAAGGCTACCGAAACATGTTTAAAAAGAAAAAAGGATTATAGTTAATTTACCAAACGAAGCTCATTACCACGAGACACGGGCGCGTAACACAGAGATATATTACAGCCAGGCATCAATCAAGGGACTGCTCTGTAGTGATATCGTGTAACATCTAATCTCCGAGGACAACTTTCTCATGTCTCCGTATGGAAAAATTTTACACATCATGTGTGCATCATGAAGATTTTATTCCTCTATGATGACAGGCGTATATGTCTTATATGTAATGAACCACTTCAATCAGTGAGATGGATCGCATTAATACCATTTGTAAATTTAACAATCTCAGTTTTAACGTATTGTTAGGTTTGAAAAATAAGAATAGTGTTTAATGATCGGTGCTCTTAAGGTGGTAATTTTGTATAAATCTAATTATTACATAACAATCTGTTTTTAATGTCTGTATGCGCTGTTTAGGTTTTCAGGATAGACATTTTTCTGAAAACAACTTTGATTGACAAGTTGTTTAAATCTTTTTATGTAAGCTAACAAGGCTTTCAAAACTTGTTCCATTTTCCAGGAAATGCACATGCTGTTACATTATTGATTTGTAACATAAAGAACAATGATCGTATAAAACGATAATATAATCTAATTTTCATATGAATTATATGGATATAAATATAATCCATGACACAGAAATAACATCATTGCTACTTTTATTGACGCATGTAAAAGAATTTATGCAAGTTTGATGTAACATGAACACTTCTTTTCCAAAGGGATTTTACATTATATAACCTGCGATATGTCTTATAATTGGCAGAACTGGTGAAGGGCAGAACTCGGTGACATATTTTGAAGGTAAACAAGAGTACAAACAATGATGACTCTGAAGGACGTTGATAATATACTAGGATGTTTTTTCCAACAAAGTAATACAATATAGATGTAATGTATGGGGTACAGATTTTATCCTTTATCTGTTAAGAGACTAATTGAAAAGTTAATGGCTAGGGGACGCAAATGGCTATTCTAGGAGGATGAAGCGCTGAGGTACGGTGACCCAATCTCATCTGGTTAAGTTTGATAAACAAGCTACTCGCTACGCGTGTCGTTCATTCTAAGATGAATGGTTGAAGGACTTCTTTGATATAATTGAAATAAATGATTAACTCATTTACCCCTGAATTTTTATAATGAACTATCCGAACATTTGAATTGGAAGAGTTCAAACGTGTCTTCAGGGGTGAATGAATTAAATAAAACTCCTTGTCGGAATAAAGGTGTGGGTTGTTAAATCGCATACGAGACGTAAGAGTAATGAAAGATTAAGACGATTGTACTTACTTGATGGAAGTAGAACGTCTGAATGGTGTTATTGGAAACCGGAAGTTGTCCAATGTCCGAAGGAAGGACGTCCATCTGTCCAAAATCCGTTTGGTTGTCCGTAACATTCATTGTGTAATTCTTAGTGACGTGAAATGGAATAAAAGTCAACCATCTCTGCATCAGAACTAAAATATATTCCCCATTGTGCCATCGTTCAAATATATATATATATATATATATATATATATACGCTAAACTTGAACAAGTAATTTAACAGTCTCGTGTAGTCCCTACTTCCTTGGCGTTGTTGGTATTTGTTTTGAGAAGATGATAAAAATAGTGAAAGCTTTATCCATCTATTGGTTAAATGAAAATATCGTACATCCGGACACAGGGTATCAGCGATAGTCACGTGATCACTTCTTATGTCATGTAATGTTCGTCCTGATGAGATTTCAAGGCTTCCTCCGTCTGGAAATCTTGTCAATAGTTGATTTTAAAATCGAAACTAAAATTAAATTAATTGGTTAAAAAATAGTGATGTTGGTTTATATGTTTCAATTGATGATGCTCCAACGAACGCAAACACGTATATCTCCAATCTAGTTTATCCGGTTTCATTATTATTGTACTCGCAAAAAATGAAACAATCTGCTATCTTCAGGCTCACTTTTGAAAAAGATACCAACTTCTTTTTAGTTCAATAGTTTGTATCCCTTTAACTACAGGTTCAAAAATCGTCGCAATAAGAATAAAAAATCTCTTCAAATTTTCCACAAGTGTATTATGCATGTTATCAACAAAACAAGTCCCCGATGATGCAAACGTGACAGATCTATAGTATTTCGTTGTATCATGTATTTATAAAGCCTATCCAGCTGATGATGTGCCCTGCCCTGCCGCACTCGCCCGGTGGAATGATACAGTATGCATCGGCCCCACGGTAAAAAATTACTACCTAAAGGAGATAGGAACGGGTCGATATCCCGGTTTTGTGTTGTCCAAACAGACCGTGCAGCGGTCTTTATAAATCTCGCACAGTGACGTGGGCTCTTTATATCAATCAGAGTTCCACATTTAATAACACACTCAGATTCTTTTTTAATTAACAATGTTTTTTGTTTAATATTGTCAGTAGTATATGCTGATCATTCAGCGAGCCGCATTCCCATGACAAGTAATGACCNATAAGCAAAATAATTGCTATTCAATATAAGGTGTCACTATATCTTTATCACAAATGAAATGATGACGTCAGCAACGTTTTATGGTTGGTTTGTCACGTGATTGTAAACATAGAGTATACTTGTCGTATGTGTTTGACACATTATGTCTTAAACCTAAGAACGCCTTGTCTGCTTTTTTTGTTAGCGGCTCAGTGACTGAGTTCTTTATTGGACTTGAACGGCGATATTATGATGAGGACATGCACAATACATAAGGTACAAGACATTCTTAGTCTTCTAGAGTCACTAGATTTGCCTCCGTTTTGCAGGAGGCTTAAAATGTTTTCCTTCTGCTTTGGTTTTTCCGTTTTCTGTTCGTTACAACATCCATTTTTTTCTATATGATGCACAGTGGTGGAAAGGTAGGACATTAAATGCTAGCTGTGAGCGCCTAAATGGCAGCACCGACTGTATCCCCTTCGGGAGTTGAAAAAGATATTGGCTGGTTGCAAAAGCCTTATAACCAGGGATAATAATTTGTGAACCGCTTTGAGACGACCTACGAACGAGGCTGTGATAAAGCTGTATACAAGAATCTCGAATTAGTATTACTTATTTCTGTACTTTATTTTAACTTAAAACTGAGAAAATATTTAAAAAAATTGGTTAATTAAGCTTTGTTTCGTTGTGATTTTTGAAAAGTTGTTGACCGTCGATGAAATTTACCATGAACAGCCAAATTCATTTTATTCGTTGTGACGTCATACGTTTGTTTCATTGTGTTCTTGAATGAAAAATACATGGTTGTTTGTTTGTCGTGAAGGTAAGGGAGCTGAACAAGTATTTGAGAGTGATAAGCTATTTTGTTCCTTATACGCACTATAGGATGATGACGGTTGTATGAATACTACCGACACTTTCTTAGTAAAACACGTTTCGTGCTATTGTGCGTTTAGGTTGATAGAACCAAAACCTGGTTTCCTGAATGAAGAATTGATGAAATCGTACGAAACATTTCAGACAAAAATAGGTCTAAGTCTGTCCTATCTGTCTCAGCGATCGTAGCCCATATTGAAAGGTACTTAAGTCAACAAATTGTATATCGACCAAATTAGCTGTCCACGATTCAGAGACGTTGAACTGTTTTGTCTGCCTGAGATGCAGTGAAAGTGTTCGACGTTATAAAATATATATAAAAAAAATAAAAAAAATGAGAGTGATTTGCTGTGTTTTGTTATTCCCAAAAGTCCGTCGGGTTTAATATAAAAAAACCTTGTTGAATCACTCACTGTCGTATTGTGTCGCACATAAATAAACATTCTCTAATTGATTTTTCGCCATTAAAATTGAATCCAATCACAGTGGAGTAAGTTTTCTTCTCCTGGTTTTTGATTGGTAAATGATCTTTTGAATATTTCCGTGGTTACCTACCTCCTTTAGGGATCAAATCCGGGTCTTCTGGTTTACTAGTCTGCTGTTCGAACGATTGAGCTGAAGAGAAATCCCCCAGCGAGTCTACAGGAAGCAATTCCTCTTTTAATAAAGGTAGCATACTAGCCGTCCAGGAAACAACTCGCCTCGAGCTTTTCAATGGGAATGTTTTGTAACAGCACTGCTTGTAAGAGCAATGATACGGACATTTGTCAATAATATCCGGGTCTCTTACATTGGTGCCAATGTAACAGAGGTCATTGTTTTTCAATGCTTCTGATAAGGATCGAACCCGATCCTCTATTTTACTAGTCTCAAGCTCTACCGATTTGACTTAGGGGAGAATTCTCCCGAGCAGAGTCGAAAGGAAGCGTTTAGTGTCTAGCCAGTGTAACTTGTGTTCAGTTATAATGAAGATATCAGTGACTTATATGATTTTCAGTAACTAATCGCCAACCTATTAATGAAGTAAATAGATTTCATTTCAAATATATTTTATTGATTAAACAAAATGATTGAGCAACAGGCTTTGCCTATATACAAGCTCTCTCCATACTTTTGATATTTGAAGACATTGAATACAATATTTACATACATACATTTTATTTCCACTCATCTCATGACACTTGGATACATTTATTGCTAGGTAATATACATCTAATTAGGCTGGATTAATATTTTGAATTTTAGATAGATAAGACAGTAATCAATATATATATTTGTGTATAATTGTCCGTGATATGGGTTGTTTTTCATAAATGATACCGTTAGCCGGGCAGAAGTATTCCCCGGACCGAAACCTCCCGCCCGGCTTGCGCCATAACCGTTTCACTTCCGGTACGGCGCTTTTCAGAAAAAAATACTTTTCAATCATAGGACAGTGATTGAAACAAACTGAAAGTGTACACACTATATATCAGTTTGTATGCCATGCTGTTCGTCGTATTTTATTTCAAGGTGGAATGTGATTATAGTCATATAAAGTTACAGGTACCTGGTTGCAGGTGATCGAACCAGTCCAAGTAAGGCTAAATTTCCCCCTCCATTCTTCATCCCCGAAGGCATTTCTATTATAGTCGAGGTTCGGGTACTGCCAGCTTAGGTTGATAAGCTCGCCAATTGTGTNCTACCAGTTAAGCTACCTGGTCTCCGGCGATCCACTGACTAAGGATCCGCTACATTGCTTGATGATATAGAATAGCGTGTGAAAAAAGTGTATAATATGGCTTTTAACAAACGCTTTCCGTGTTAGCCCGAGACACAAATCAGCCCAGGGGTCGGATCAGGATCATGTTTGATAACAATTAGACGGTGACAATTTTTTTTTAAATTGTACCCTTTTTGTTTTATTAATGTCCCCATTGCTGTGCTAATGATAAAGAAAACAGATTGCAAAGCGATAGGGTATACCCGGATGTCGTCCAATAGTGAATGGATATTGTCGCAGTAACACAGTTTTATTATTCGTGACAAATGTGATGTGATCAACTAGTTTAGTCTCTTTCATGTAAAAAAAAAAGCAACACGGGAGCCGTTTTAATATTGATATAAGCGACAGGAAATCCTTTTTGTAATGACACGGAAACGTTATTTTTATTGATATAAGCGATGTGTGAACCTCTTTTGTGTTGACACAAGCGGAAGAGAATAAGGCACGAAAATAATGTTTTTTGTATCAGTTCATGTATCATCAATAAATTATGAATTAATACTTTTCAGGATTCTGTAGAATTGGACTCTCCTTCCATAATGGCAGAACTAGCCATTGCGTTTGCACGTTCGTCAAGGAAATACAAGTCATATTCCACTCGACACAATCAATCCAGCCCTAAGGTATGATTCATATTGAAACACTTGCTCTGAATGACCTCATTTTTAGGGTCATACAGATAATAAAAAATTCATAAACAGACGAATGTCAACAAAAACCTGTCACATCATGAAATGACGTTTGCTACAGCATTTCGGTAATATCGCATTACTAGACATCGATAAATGCTATTCCGTAATAGTTGCATATTTCACAGGTCCTGTGCCGTTTTTAATTATAACGGCTTTTCAATCCAACCGTGGAAATCCTAGTCATTATTTGTTATTCATTAAATATTGATCCTCAATACTACACTTATCGATCTCTCGTTCAATGACATGACACGATGCTTCAAATTGCGTTTTCCCCATTGACTTGGATTAGATCAAAATAGAAACAAAAACATTTATATAACAGTATCAACATTTAACGACAAATATCGGATCCAATATTTGAGCTGAAAAGAACAAACCGGGGCCCGCATTTACATAACCGTTGCCATGCACAAGCTTAAATTCTGTTCTCAAGCACCATTTCTTGTTCCTGTGATTAACAGAGAAAATGTTTTCATGGAGAACTCTGAAAAAGTACGAGTAGAATCAAAGTGTTCTGAAAGGGTAAGCGCGTTTTGTTTCATTGACGACACCTGCCATGTAGGTCAAAGCAAGGTAATGTCAAGTCATTACACCGGAAACTCGGGTTGTTA